TGGAGGACACAGGACTCTATTACTGTGCGAGAGACACAGTGAGAGGAAGTGAATCCGAAGCCAGGCAAAAACTCCCCATTCCTCAGAGCCGCTCTGCGAGTTCATCCATGAACCACAGCTTCAACTGGTGCACTAAATTTGTGAAGAATGATACAAAAACATCACAAAAAGTTACTCTTCTGAAAAGAACACACAAACACATAAAAAGACAGAGACAGAGCTGGAAGAGAGTGTCCAGGAATAAATTCAAACTTTTGCTTACCTGCTGAAAAACATTTCTGTAGGTAGAAGTGAAATCTGAAAGCCAAATAGAAAACTTCCTTTGTTCAGAGCTTCTTTCCGGGTTGATTCATCCACATTTTTGGATTTGTGCATTTCATGGATAATATAGGAGAATTCTCCCCAGGTCACCTTTCAGGTGGTGAACAGGACACATTGCCCTTGAAAACCAAATATGTTGTTTGAGGGAAAGAGGAGGCTAAAGGGAGGTGGGGGGAGAGGAGACAGTCCCTAATTATACTGTTGTGGAAATGAGAAAATTCAAGGGGTTGGGTGCAGCAACAAGGCTTTGGATTGGCTGTACCAAATCATGGACTGAGTGAGGACAGTGGGGAGGACTACGGAGGGAATAGCAGCTTTGAAAGAACAAAGAAGCCAAATTCCATGAACAGAGTTCAGTGTTTACATCATCCTGGCTTGTCTTCCTTCTACTTCATGTTCTGCTTCTATTTACAAAGGAAATCACGCAAGGGGATAGGAAGAGACAGTGTTCTTTCCTTTTTTTTTTCTCTTAGTGAACAATTTTGTCTCCCTGAAATACCTGGTTTTTTGCATTCCGGGTTTGGTGGATATTGTTGGTTTCTTTTCATCTTTGTCTGCTCTACTGCAGCCAAAGCTTTTGGGAGGACGGAAATGAGAAAAAAACAGGCAGGAGTACTCATGACAAAGAGGATCCCCAAAGTATGGAGAGAGAGATTCATCTGGGAGAAGTGGATATTAAAAACAAGTCAATAAATAAATCTACATATTAAATAAAAAAGAGAATGATTCATATTACGTCTCAAACTACTGAAAACCACAGTCATCCATTGAAAATAAAGGAGAGGTGCTAAAGTAAGGGTTATTCTCCCATGCAATATAACAAAGCAGATGCATGAGAGGGAAACTTTAGAAAACGAAATGGCTCCCATTCTCATTTTTTGTAAGGAAACCAAGAATAAAGGAAGAACAGAGCAACATCACCTAACTTTGCTGAAGCAGCCCTGATCTACTTGGACCATAAGGCCTGACAATTTCATTAGATGGATGAAAATACAAAGTTTGCCCTCTCCAAAACCTCCAGACCAGTCACCTTTCCAAGCTATTTCAGATGAGGAAATGAAAGAGCAGCTTTGCTCACTCACTACACCTGCTCTGATCTTCTGGAGCTGAGTCACGTCTTCCCGGCCTCACTTTCTCTCTAGCAACACAAGGTTCTCCCTGGAGAACCAGGCCTGCTTCTGCTCATCTTGCACACCAGGGGGCAGTTTTGTCACACAGAACCCCATTAGCCATGGGGGGAGGGACAGGGAAATGAAACCAGGATTTCTTAAAGGGATTTCATTTCTGAGGCTGATGAATCTCTTGGTTGGTGGCTTGAAAATCAATAGAGAGGGGCCCATGTCAGTTCCTCTCCTCAAGAAGCTCCTGTTCTCTCCACAAAACCAGAGCTGAGTTCACTATTCTTCTGAGTTCACTAAAACTACTATTTACTAGAGCAATTTGAAGATATCATCTCGATGGGTTTATTATTTTTTCATCATGTAAATATAATTTCTGTAATAAAGGGTCAAGGAAATCTACAAGATCAAAGCACTGAGTTTCACTTTGATCTCCAAAGCTATGTAAATTGAGGAGCAGGTTCCAGCTCAAATTAGGTATATTCACCCATTTGGGGGAGACGGGCAGAGATAAATTTAATTAATGAATGATAAATTAATTAAT